CATTGGTTCTTTCTAGGGTAGTATCCTTGTACCTTAGAATAGGGTTTATGCTGTGGCGGGCCAACGTAAAAGTTTTGAATGCAGTTTCCATGGTGTCTATTACCAGTCCATTGTTTTCGCACGAGTTTGCTAGTAGTTTAAGTGCACGATTTAGAGCACTTTCTGTCCTCTCCTGAGCGTTTTCCTTAGGGGCGGAATACCATAGTACCAGATCATCTGCACAAAGTAAGCACTTGATGCCCGTGACTGTCTGTACCCATTCGGCTATGTCATTGATGAAGACATTGAAAAGAGTGCAGCTTGTGACAGCTCCCTGTGGAAGACCTGTTTGTAAAAGATTGGATTTTGATAGAGCATTTCCGTATCTGACTTTACACCATCTTTGTTCAATGAATGCTTTTATCCAGTTTAGCAAGTTATGCTTAATACCAATCTTTGCCAATTTTAGAATTAGCTTCTCTTTTCATACTAAGTCATATGCTGATTTGAAATCGGCGAAAACAGCCGTAAGGGTATTTTTTGCATCAGGGCATCTTTGATGTGTTGGGAGAAAGTGGCTTCTTGTTGGTTCGTTGATCTTTGTGGCCTAAAACCGGCTTGTTTACTCCTAAGAATATTGTTAGTCTCAAGGAACCAGGTTGGCCTCCTGTTTATTATTTTATCCATAAGTTTAGCCAGCACGCTTGTGAGGGCTATTTTCCTATAGTTCTCAAAGTTGCTAGGGTCTTTGCCCTTTTTTAGTACTGGTATTACTATGGTACCTTCCATTGGTTAGGTACGAGATTGGTCTCCCAGATTTTGTTGAAAAGCGTCAGCATGGTTTCCTTGGCTTCTGGTCCCATTCGAATTAGAAATTCCGGATGAAAACCGTCTTCGCCAGGAGACTTCTTGCCCTTGAGCTGTTTTATCGCAGCGTCATGTTCGCAAAGTCTAAATGGTTCAATAAGTACATTATTTGGTGTTGCGTCTTCCTTAATTTCCTCCAAAAGTCTTACTTGTAGCATTAAATCTCTTGAAGATTTTCTGACAAAAGAGTTTTTTTTTGATTGTGGAAATAGAACCTCGCAAAGTAGTTAACTATTTCGGAGTCGGTGGTAAGCAGTTTGGTTTTAAAGGAATTGGTTCTTTCTTTGGTCTTTCCATGTTGTTTTGGAGGTTACTCAGGAATTTGAAAGTGCGTTGGCTATCACTTTGATCCAGGAATTTGAAAGTGCGTTGGCTATCACTTTGATAGTTGATATTAGGGATTAACTTTTCGAAGGAAGTCCGTTTTGCTTGTAAGATTTCTTGCCTTAGGACAGCTGATTGTCGTCTCCAGGCTTGTACATCTTTCATTCTTCAAGTCTGATTTGCTGCGATGGGAAGGGCGTCCCGCTTTTCTTTCAATTCCTCAAGGTGTATAGACCAAAACACTCGATAGTGTTAAGTCTTGCCTCTGGGAATAGTTTTCTTTGCACATCTAAACATAATATTCGTGATATTGTTGCAAATTTTGTCAGGATGTTGGTTGAAGTTGAGGGGACTTGTGTGAAGTTCATTCTCTAAAAGGTTTGTGAATCTTGACCAGTCAGCTTTCTTGAAGTTCCATGATTGCTTAGTTGACACTTTCCTTGTCATGCTTTTGCTGCCGATGATATTACTAGCAATGACTGATTTGTGACCAGAACCAGGATCGTCAATTATTTTTCGCCGTGTATGCTCACTGATGTCACTTGAAACCAGGAGTAAGTCAGGAGTTGTTCTGGTTCCATTGTAGTGCAAATATGTAGCCGGATCCCCATTGCTGTACATAAGTTCCAGAGGGTTGCTGTTGAGCATGTCTTCAATCTTCTTTCCAGATATGTTTGTATTCTTGTAGCCCCATCTGTTGGAATGAGCGTTGAAATCTCCTAATACTATGGTTTTGTGTGATATGTTCAGAAAGTTAAAGTTGGGACAATTCTGGGGTGGATTATAGACTGCATATACCTTGAAGTGGTTTTGACATTCCCAAACATTTAATCTGATTATTTCTTATACGTCTNTCTGATTTGCTGCGATGGGAAGGGCGTCCCGCTTTTCTTTCAATTCCTCAAGGTGTATAGACCAAAACACTCGATAGTGTTAAGTCTTGCCTCTGGGAATAGTTTTCTTTGCACATCTAAACATAATATTCGTGATATTGTTGCAAATTTTGTCAGGATGTTGGTTGAA